CCGGAGCCCAGCAGGTCGAGGCTGCGGTGGCCGGAAGCGGCCACTGCACTCCAGTCTGGGCGACAGAGTGAGACTCCAACTCAAAAAAAAAAAAAAATTATATCTTGGGTCCATTTTGAGTTAATTTGTATATGCTGCATGAACATAGAGGTCTAACTTCATTCGTTTGCATGTAGACATCCAGTTGTCCCAGCACCAGTTTTGAGAAGAAGTTTCCCCCCAAAATTGTTTTAAAAGTTCTCGATGAAAGTGATTATAAAGCCGGGCTCGGTGGCTCAGCCTGTAATCCCGCACCTTTGGGAGGCTGAGGTGAGTTGATTGCCTGAGCCCGCGGGTTCGAGACCCGCCTGGGCAGCGAGACCTCACCTCTACAATAAATCAAAAAATTAGCCGGGCGTGGTGGTAGCGCATGCCTGTAATTCCGGCTACTTGGAAGGCTGAGGCGGAAGGATCGCCGGAGCCCGGCAGGTGGAGGCTGCGGTGGCCGGCAGCGGCCACTGCACTCCAGTCTGGGGCGACAGAATGAGACTCCAACTCAAAAAAAAGAAAGTGATTATAAATGTGAGGGGCTTATTTCTGAGCTCTCAATTCTATCCATGTATCTGTATGTCCTTATGACAGTACTAGTTCGTGTTTTTTTACATTCACGATCTGACTTGATCTTCCTCCACTATAGTTTTTATTATATTGCAATGATCTGTTCGTGTGTGTTTCTCCCACCAGCTTGTGAGCACTTTGAGTGCCAGATTCAATTATTTTCCTGTACCTCCAGGAGTGAGCATCGTGCTTCACAAGCTGTGTTTAACAAATGACTGAATAAGCTCATCCGTAGTGTTCTGCTGGGTCCTGGGGGAAGAATGAGGCTGAGGGTTGCCTATGGGTTGATTTCATTCATACAGGTTATTGCCAATTCACTCTTGGAACAAATGGTTGAGAATGGATTTCAGTAGAGGACAAATAGCCCACTGTGAGGATTCCCTGGGAAACACGGACACACCTAGAACTGGTTAGTATTAACAGTCTTTTCTCTCTGCTGTGGGGAAATGTCAAGGTTGCAACATCTAGAGATGCCTGTCCTTTCCATTTTGGGAGGCTTTTTTCCTGGAAGGGTAAGTGTAAACTTGGACATGCCTTCGTAAGACTACCAGACATCATGCACACTTTCTTCCTTTGGACTTTCTCCTGTCACCGAGCAGTATTTCTTTCCACCTTTGGGGTCCTCCCTGAGCCCACAATGCTCCTGCTTATGGAGGCCACGTGGTACAGATCACTGCCTCCCAGATACAGAATCACCTCCTCCTGAGGCATCTCCTGTACAATGAGATGCTGTTTCAGAGCCGCCCTTGCACATCTTGCCAGGAAACAATGCCAGACACTCTGTAGAGCTTGGGGGGTGGAGACTTTTATGTCTGTATGAGCACATTAGACAAAACAGAGATAACCAAGTGAATTTTCAGTCTTTCAGTGACGTTGGAGTTGAAGACTTTGCCTCTAATTATTTAGCTTATGAAAATGGGATTTAAAACGCTTCTCCCTTTTCCACTCTAATATTTTTCTCAGCAACTTTTTAGTTTTTTGTATAGAGTGAGTTTCCATGATTAAAGAACAAAAACAATAACAACAAATAAAATAAAAGATGAATATGTGAAGAGAAGTAGCACACTTCAGATGAACCCCAGTACCTGAGTGGTGACACTGTTCCTCTTGTGAAATAGCCCATCAATCCTGGATGCTGTATCTTTTAACAATGGCATTGCCCCACTCTCCAAAGTCAGACAGCTTTCTCTCAACTCATCCAGTGCTTTGGACTTAATTGCAAGTTGATTTTCTATATCCTGGAAGGGCAAGAGGAATGTAGTTTCACTGCACAATATTACAAAACAATTAATAAGGTGTAAGAGATGGGAGTTCATTTTTTTCCAAGTAAAAATGCCATGAGAGGCCAGGTACAGTGGCTCATGCCTGTAACTCTAGCACTTTGGGAGGCCAAGGCAGGAGGATCATTTGAGCCCAGGAGTCTGAGACCAGCCTGGGCAACATAGTAAGACCTTGTTTCTAAAAAAATAAAATAAGAATTTAAAAAATGCCATTAGAGAATAAAACTAAATAGCATTTTGTCAAATACTTTTTAATCATTATACTCTTAATTCAATGATATGCTACACAGCGCTACATTTTAGGAGCGTCTAGGCAACAACTCTTTTTTCTGTATGCTTTGAAAGTCTTTCATAATTGAGTTTATTGGTTGTGTTGAGGATCAGTACACAGACATTTCAATTTGTATATAGTTCTTAACATATATACCGAAAATTTAAAAAGTCATGTATCAGTTTTTTGTTTTTTTAGTTGGAGTCTCACTCTGTCACCCAGACTGGAGTGCAGTGGGTGTTCCCGGCCACCTCAGCCTCAACGTGCTGGGCTCTGGCGATCCTTCCGCCTCAGCCTTCCAAGTAGCTGGAACTACAGGCACGCGCTACCATGCCCGGCTAATTTTATTTTATTTTTTTTATTGTAGAGATGAGGTCTCACCAAGTTGCCCAGGTGGGTCTCGAACCCATGGGCTCAGGCAATCCACTCACCTCAGCCTCCCAAAGTGCTGGGATTACAGGCTGAGTCATTGAGCCCGGCTTCATTATTTTTTAAAAGTTATTCCAGTGACTTTCCAGCTTAAAATTAACAAGTCTTTATCATTATGATATAGTAGAAATAACTCAGGTGATCTGGTCCCCGTGCCATGTCTACCCTGCACTGGCTATTTTACCAGGCAGAAGTCATCAAATCCCTGAGCCTCCATTTTCTCCTCTGAAGAATAGTGATGATACCCTATGCCGTGCAAAGTTTAGAACTCATATGAAACTACAAACAGGAAGGTGCTTTTAAACCATAAAGCATGGCTGGGCATGGTGATTGATGCCTGTAACCCCAGAGCTTTGGGAGGAGAGAGGATAGCTTGAGCCAGGAGTTTGAGATTAGCCTGGGAAATATAGCAAGGCCCCATCTCTATTAATTAAAAAAAATTAAACCATAAATCTGTAAGTGATAGAAAATATATTAAAGTAATGACTTTAATATATTTTCTACCTCATAGTTTACTGATTCACCAAACTTCGTCTACTCTTTACAGACACATTTTTAGAAACCTACAGGATCCCTTTACTATAAAGGAGACTAAGGAGCCAGTGATCTGGAAACAGATGAACAAGGCCAGCAGCCACAGTGCCACTTCTTACAGAGGAAGGATGCTGAGAGCTATCTGCTCTTCCCAGGGTTGGGGTTGGAATCCAGTTTGGAAAAAGCTTAAACTTTTTTTTTTTTTAAATTATAAAAGAATTACAACCTTGTTATAGAAAATTTGTAAAACACAAAAGATCTCTGGGATTCAGATTTCGTCTGACTTCCTCTCAAATCTCATAGTTTATAAACATTTCTATCCAGATGAGTTTTGAAGGCATGGCCTCAAGTATGAATGACCCTTAGCTTAGGTTTTATTTTTCTTTTGAAGGTTGCTTTTCACAAGAACTTCATTTTTTAAAAAAAATTATAAGAATCCCTATATTTAAAATGATTACTCTTCCCCAAATAAAAAAATAAAAAGCAACAAAGAAAATAATCACTGTGTGTCCATAAGGAAACGAACACAAGTTCCTATGGGCATGCTGTGGCTGGGTAGGTGGCTGGGTTTGTATTCTGGCACTGGACAAGCTCTGTGGCACGAGCTTCATTGTGGGGCACTTGAATCCAGCCCAGAGAAACTGCCAGATTACCAAATGTCAGGATCTCTCAGGGCACTCTTGAAATGTTGAAATCATAGACTTTCTATCAATGGATGTCAGGGGTTTCCTGGCCCAGAAAACAGAAAGCAGGGGAAAATTCTGTTCCATAGGAAACCGATCACTATGGTTAGGAGTGGGCATGGATGACCAGAGCTGGACCCAGAACCTTCCACAGGTGTGACACCATATACCTTTGGGTTTAGAGTCATACGAATTTACATGCGGGTTTCGAACTCCTGAGCAATCCTCTTGCCTCGGCTTCCCAAAGCACCGGGACTACAGGCTTTAGCCGTCATGCCCTGCTCCATCATGCTTTTTGATAAGCCATTGATTTTACCATTTTATCAGGGTTTCAGCTGAGTTCGGACAAAGAGGGAGAAAAGCCTCTGTGTGGATCGGGGTTGGGGAGGCAGATTAGTATAACTTCCATAGGCTATGGCAGGCCAGCAGGCATACTGATGCACCAGCTACTCTGAGAAGCCCATGGGCTGGTAGAGGACAAAGGAGTGGACAGAAGTTCAGGCCAGTGGCACAGGATGCTACACAGAGTGCTAGAGATGCCTGTTTTATTAATTTATTTCCATCTCTGCCTTGTTTACAGCCCTTCACAAAGATGCATTCAGAAAGCAAGATTTAAAAAATAGAGGCTATAATCCCAGCACTCTGGGAGGCCGAGGCAGGAGAATTGCTTGAGCCCAGGAGTTGGAGACCCACCTGGGCAACATAGTGAGACCTCATCTCTACAAAAAAATTAGCTGGGCGTGGTAGCACACGCCTGTAGTCCCAGCTACTCAGGAGGCTTAGACAGAAGGATCACCAAAGCCCAGGAGGTCAAGACTGTGGTGAGCCATGATTGTGCCACTGCACCCCAGCCTGGGCAACAGAGTGAGACCCTGACTCCAAAAAAAAAAAAGTTAAAGCAGATAATAAGGAGTAAGTAAAGATACAAGAAGGTAGACAATCAGTGGGTATGAGGTGAGGGAGGAAGCTGGGGGCTTCTTCTGACAAAGATAGAGGAGAGTTTGTGTTTGTGTTTTGTGTGCGTCTGTGCCAAGGTGGTATCCAGAATTCTACAGTCAGAAGCATATGGCATAAAGGCAAGGTGGGGACTGACAAGAGATGACTGATGCTGGCCAGGAATGTCTGTGAATTTGTTTTCAAAACTTCAGCAATCGCAGATGGGCTAAACTATACCCAGGTGCAATCAGGTACACAAACACCAGGGTGGTCAGTTAGTGTGTAAATTAGGAAATCCGCAGGGGGGGGCAGGGTTCCACAGTGCTTCTAAGCTCCCCACTTCATCAACACCTGTGGTTTTGCCAATAAGCCCTTAGAATGTTAGAAAGGGTTTCTTATTGACAAAATTAATGGCTTATTAAAAAGTATGATGAATATTCTAAATAAGTTCTCACTGGTAAAATTACATGTACTTGAGATCAATGGATTGGCTCAACTACTGGAGGTATAATTCCCACCCTTACTTGAACAGGATGTAAGAACTGACTACTGCCTGTGGCTACCACTCTGTGCAATAATCCCTACAATAAATTTCGACGTGATTTTTATATCTAGCCTAAGCTCCAAGGATTTTGGTTGCCAAATGATGGATTGTTACAGAAGAAGCTTCTGGATTTAAACTAATAATAACAGTAACAGTAAAGAAATAATAGACTCCTGCTTCTGGAGTAGTAGTATGTCTGCCTTTCATGCAAAGTGGTGGTTAGTCCCCCAAAGAGGACCAAGAGTTGGGCTTGGTGGGACTTCCAGGTGTCTGAACTGTTTCTGGAGCTAGCTTGCTAATCAATGTTCGCACAGAAGGGGTAATTTTGTCTGGGATTTGTTAAATTACAGCTTGATAATGAGGTTGTATGGGGAATAGCTAAACTTAACCCACCTCAAACTTGCCCAGTGACTGCCATCATCTATCACAAAAGAGACAGTCATTGTGTAAGTCTCACTTGGTTTAGGTCTACCTGCAGCTCTTTGTCGTCAAGGACGTTCCTAAGGGCCCAGAATGCCATTCTAAAACAGCTGAACTCATTCTATGGGCAGTACGGAACCATGGAAGGGCTTTTCAGTGGGGGATGGCCATGACCTTTTGCATTTCAGAACTCTTCCTCTGTGGCAGGGTGGAGAATGAATCGGAGGGAAATGAGGGAGAAGGCAGGGAGGCAGGTGGAGGCTGCTGCCTAAGATAGGCTGCCATGAGAGCGCTCTGAGGGAAGCTTTGGTCTGATGGATGGATTGACTAGATCAGGCATGTCCAAGCTGTGGCCCATGGGCTGCATGCAGCCCAAGACGGCTAGTACGGTGGCCTCACAGAATCTTTTAACATGTGTTTTATAGCCTTTATTTTCTTCATGACCCCATGCGTAGTTCCATTTTTGGAGTTCACAGTCATGCCTTATTCATGACATTGATTTTTGGCAGCGCACACATTTGTGAGCAGCTGTTTTCAATGATGAAACAAATGAAGAGCAAAATTCGAACACACATTCCTGACGAGCACCTTGAGAACACACTAAGAATTGTGACCACTTCCATCAAACCAGACACTGAGAGATTAGTTTTACAAGAATGAAGTCAAATTTCCCACTAGTTTTATACTTTTCTCATTTTTCTAAGCTTTATAATAAAAAATATAAAAAAGAAGTCTTATTACATAGATACACCAACTATATTATATAATTTATGTGTGGCCCAAAACAATTGCTCCTTACTTGATGCGGCCTGGGGAAGCCAAAAGTTTGGACACCCCTGAACTAGACTGTGAGTCAAGAGGACCTCATGAGAAAGTGGGGGTTGAGACAAGGACGAAGACAGCTGCTGGGCTGGGAAGGATGGCCTGTTAAGGGGTGGAGCAAGCACCGAGTTGTGCACGCAGCCTTCCTGTCAGGAAGGACGTTGACTTGAGGTGGCTGTCAGAATACCAAGGTGGAGACACAGCGTGAGGAGCAGGAACAGGATATGACCTTCTGAAAAGGCCCTTAAGGTGGGGTTGCTGTACCCACATATGTCCCATAGTATTCTGTCACCTTCTCCATAGCATTGGGGTCTGGCCAGACCTTCCAGCCCCCACTGTGACTTGGGGGAGACTGTCACGCCACAGAGCTGAAGCAGCACAGCGTGTCCACTTGCAGCTATGATGACGGTGGGAGGGCTATGAAGAGGAGTGGCCCACAGGACAGTGCTGAAGCATCCACCTACACTTGGGAGAGGGCACCCGAGGGACGGAGTGACCTGGCAAAACACCACAGAACAGACGAAGGGCACAGACGACACCCTCCGGCCCGAGTGTGATTCAGACAGAGGTTCCAAGGGACGAGCGGTCCTTTTAAATTACAATACACAATAAGTAGGAGAAGATCATTTTCCTCCCACAAAACACAGAAGGAAGTGCTAAAAATAACCACAGCTTCAGACTAGTTTTGCAAAATAATAAAAAAACAAAAATTGGAAGGCATCTAAATCAAAATTTTCTTTAGTGTTTCCCCCCCTCAGGAGTACTATTCAAACTTTTTATGAGCAACAATACTATCATCAGAAAAATACCTACATCTGTTTCTTTTAATATTTTATTTTTTGTTGTTGGAGTCTCACTCTGTCACCTAGGCTGGAGTGCAGTGGCACAATCACAGCTCACTGCAGCCTCGACCTCCTGGGCTCAAGCAATCCTTCTACCTCAGCCTCCTGAGTAGCTGGGACTACAAGAGTGCACCACCATGCCTGACTAATTTTTTGATTTTTTTGTAGAGATGAGGTCTCGCTATGTGTCCCAGGTGGGTCTTGAACTTCTGGGCTCAAGCAATCCTCCTGCCTCGGTCTCCCAAAGTGCTGGGACGACCAGCATGAGCCACCGTGCCCGGCTGTTCAACTGTTTAGTCCAAAAATGGTACTTTGCAATTCTGTAAAACCTAGGGATAATTCTCTAAGTTACATAAGCAAGTAAGTAAATCCAGGGGAGTTGGAGTTGGAGGAAGTCTCAGGAACGACAGCACCTTGTCCTTCATGGGACAAGACTGGGGACCATGAAGCCCAGGCTGGCATGTGCCACTGGATGCTATCTTCCCCACCTGACAATCCAGGAGCAGCTTCTGCACTGAGATCACACTTTCAGGTTTCTGCAAAGTTTTCAGTCTCTCTTCTTGCACCTCCATCCAGTTGTCCAAAATCTGTATTTTGTTTTCATTCTCAGTGACGCTTTCCAAAAGCTGTTCTAAATGCTGTATCTGTAAGTGGTGAACAAAAAAATTATTTTAAAAAATTTCCTGTTTTTAAACCACATTTATTTTATTTCATTTTTTGTAGATACAAGTTCTCACTATGTTGCCCAGGCTGGTCTCGAACTCCTGGGCTCAAGCCATCCTCTTGCCTCAGCCTCCCAAAGCAACTGGCTTTAAACCACATGCTTTAAAATGTAAGTGCCATGATATATTATTATTATTATTATTTTTGAGTTGGAGTCTCACTCTGTCGCCCAGACTGGAGTGCAGTGGCCGCTCCCGGCCACCGCAGCCTCGACCTGCTGGGCTCCGGTAATCCTTCCGCCTCAGTCTTCCAAGTAGCTGGAACTACAGGGATGCACTACCACACCCGGCTAATTTTTTGATTTATTGTAGAGATGAGAGCTCACCAAGTTGCCCAGATGGGTCTCGAACCCGCGGGCTCAGGCAATCCGCTCACCTTAGTCTCCCAAGGCGCAGGATTACAGGCTGAGCCACCAAGCCCGGCTGATATATTATTTTTAAAAGAACAATTTTGTGTCTTCTCACATTTCTAATATCTTACATAATAAGATGCGCTAACAACTTTAGAAAGAAAGATTCCTAAATCAAGAAACACAATTAAAATTCCTCTTTAAAAAAAAAGAAAAGCTAATCTGCAGAGAAAGCTGACCATTTTGAAGTTTCATAATATCTGTACACAATAAAATCATGTTGCTAACATTCAATACTTTTTCACTGAGTCATCTCTTAATATATGTGAAGTATAAGAAAATTTTCTTTCCTTTGAGCATTAGAGTTGCTCTATCACTAACAATAATATGACAAGTAATCATCAATTTAATAAAGTAATCATTGTCTTTAAAAGCTGTGATTCTTTTCATTTCTACTACAAATTTTACTAGGTTACAATCATAGTATGCATATATTCTTATATTGTTTTTCCTACTTTGTCATAAGCATTTCCTGTGTCATGACATATGTGGATATTAATTTTAAAAGGCTTCTCAACACTTCATCAAATGGACACAGTATAATTTGATTAATTGTTCCCCTAGAATTAGAGATTTAAGTTATACTACATTTTTGTCAGTATAAATAATGCTAAAGTAAACACTTCATGCATAATCCTTTTGTTTTTTTGAAGGACTATCTACTTAAAAGTGTAAGCAATGACCTGCTTGGTTCAGAGATAAGATAATTATTACAGCTTTTTAAATTTTCTGAATGCTTTCCAAAAGAGTATTTGAGCCATTACTAGCAATGTATGAATGAGAGCGTGTTGGGCTTTTATCCTCACCTTATTACATTTTTGTAATATTAAGTGTATCATGTTCCACTGTATTATTTGAATACCTGATAACTGATCTCTTTTCATGTTTATTAGCTGCCTATCACTTACTCTTTTGTAAAATGTCTGTTCCTGTTCTTTGGTCATTCGTGTACATGACCCCTCCTATTTCTAAGCATTCTTTACACAGTAAACAGATCAACCAACTATCACTCTTAATATATATCAATATTAAATAATTTTTCAGGAGTAAATTTTAAAAAATCTTTTCAAGGGTCATGGAGTGAAAAATGTACCCCAAAAAATCCACATGCATTTTGCTTCCTTTTTTATTATCTTTCAAAGCTGAAATGGCTTTGCCACTTTTGAACATCTGCTTTGGCAGAAAATGTCAAAATCTGTGATCACGTAGGAGACCACCTAACATAATACCTGACACCGTCTTAAATAAAATTTCTCCTCTTCACTTGCCTAACTCAATTTCCCACCGACTGCTTCATACTCTCTTAGCTGCACCTATGGAGAGTGCTAAAATATAGAGCTTTTAAAAGGGCTACAGTTGAGGTCATTATTAGGCATAACTGTAAACCAACTCTGTCTTTTTGGATTTTTCAGAAAGTGGTATTGACAAAGGCCAAGCCATCCACCCAACAGCGACCCAGGAGTGCACCTTTCCATTTAGCATCCCGTGAACTCGGTGCCACTGGTGGTTCATCTCCCCCAGGTGCTCTGCAAACTCCGTTCTTTCATAGCGCTTGCTTTCTACATCACAGGTGCTCAGCTGAAGTAATGACTGGTTAACAAAATCAACTATCCACTGTTTATAATCCATTTCCATTCGAAACTCCTGAAACAAACAAGCAAAGTCAAACACCCAAAGCCACCATGGAGGCCGGTTAGATGCCCTGGATTTTCCTTCCTGTGCTCTAATGGGGCACCAAGCTCCCACCTGTTCATCAAGGGGCACATGTCAGGAGCTATATTTCACCATTCCCCACCCCTAGCAGGTGTCTGCTTTAGGTGAATGGAGATTCTTTTAGAGAATCACACATTCCTGGAAACAGAGAGATATCTTGCTTCTAACTAGGCTGAAAACTCAAAGGGAGCACTGTATACGGTGGCCACTATCATCTGAACAAAAATCAGGACCCAAGGTCGGACAAAGGGTTTCCACATGAGAGGCTGCCAGAGCTGAGCTGGGATTCTGGGGATTATGGAAACAACTGTATAGGAAATAGTAAGTTAAGGCTCTCCCAGAAAACCCAGGACCCTTTTGAGGAACTCTGCAAACTAGCAGACTTCCTGCCCTTTTGGGACAGTCAAGGCCACCCAGGGCAGTTTGGGTGGCTTTAAGTTGTCCAGCAATCCTAAACCCACCCAGGGTCAACTACGTTTCTGTCACACCCGCCACCAGCAAGTTCTAGCACAACCTCTGGAGACATCTAGGGGTAAACCATGTGGTATGTATCAGGTTACTAGAGCCTACAAGAATATATATTTTAAATGTACTTTAAAGATTTACCACTTGCTGAAGTTACGATGAGATGGTGTATAAAAACAAAATCCTCTGCTTATACATGCTTGGCAACTAAGCCATTCATTTTCTGCCAACCAGAAGTTAGCTCCATCAGCCTGCGTGGTCTTAAAGCAATGACTAGGCTGGTCATTTATCTACAAATTCCTATTGGCCAGCACCCTGCTTGGCACACAATAAATATGTGTGTGTGAGGCTTGTTAAATGTTAATTAAGACTACTTGAAACTAAATATCATGGAGAAGGCCACATTCACATCTATTTGTAGAAGGAGATCAACTTTCTCTTACTCATTCTTACTCAAAAAACACCTATTGGATGCCAGGTACTGGAAGAGGCGTGCTTTATTTTAGGGAGGTGCAGGGCAGCCCTGCACTCAAGAAACTCAGTCAAGGTGGGGAGACAGGTAAGTAGACAAATAATGATAATATTGCATGATAGGAACTACTGAGAGCATCCTGGAAACATGCAATCCAGGAAAGTCACCCAGTCCAGCTGGGAGAGTCAGGGGTGGATTTCCAAATAAGGAGACACCTGAGCTGATCCTTGAAGGATGACCGAGAATGGATACAGCTAAAAGTGGGCCTTTCAGGTTCAAAGTACAACATGTACACAGCATGATGAGAGAGAGCCCCAGAAATAGCTAAGAACCAAAATCACTTGGTCAGGCAGAGTCCATGGTTTATGGGGGGAAATAAAAAGTGAGGCCAGAGTCCATGAAAAGCTTGAGCTGTCCTGGTGGCGGGAGCTACCAAAGGAATTTGAGTGGAATAAGAGCGAGTATACTAACTTACCTTTCTAGAATCATCTACTGTCCTCCTTCCCTACCTCTAGAATTTGTTTTCTAAATTACATCCTATGGGTCTCTTTGTTCAGCATTTCCCCTGCAACAGATTGACCTTCTCATTTAATAAAAGACTTCTGCTCCTTTTACGAAATTACCTTGAACTTCTGCAGAAGGTTTTTAACTGGAGACACAGAGCTTGGTGAATGCATGGCGTCTTCCTCTGCAGTCTGCTGCTCCACCCTGTTCATCCAACTAATCGTTTCTGTGATTGCCTTACGAGATGGCAATTTCTCCATCTGAAGCTGCAAGAACAAAACGATTTCCATTTAATTACCCACAGTTAACAAAATGAATCAGGGCATCACTAAAGATGATATCTGGTTTGATAAAAGGTCTTGCTATATAATCATGCAGGTTACTCACAAAAACAAACCCAGCACTCAAACTCAGAATAAGCGACCCCAAAACAATGATGATGACCCTTCACATAAACTAACACAGTGGTGCAGATAAACTGAGAAATAAAGTAATTAAGCCTGATTTCTCTCATAAGAAAGTTCCATTGGAGGAGAGTCCAGTAATTAAGACCTATATTCAGTGGAGCCAGAGAAAAATAGATAGTGTCAATGAAAATTATCGAGTCAGAGAAATAATTGTAAAGGATTTGGGAGCTAACAAGTGAAGGCTAATTCAAATGCTGAGTCTTTAAGTACTTACTTGGTGAAGTTTTTCTTGAATATCTGGAAGTTGAGTTATGAGCATTGTCCATTTTTGTTCAAACTGTGCTAGAGAAGCTCTCAGCGTAGCTGTGTCAGCTTCTTTCAGATGAAGAAGTTGGTTCCCAGCGCTTATAACAGCAGTCTTCAAGGAAGACTTTTCATCAACTTCCTTTGAAAACTCCTAAAGGAAATAGATTTAATTAATTAATTAATTGAGTCGGAGTCCCACTCTGTTGCCCAGGATGGAGTGCAGTGGCATGCTCATGGGCACTGCAGCCTCGACCTGCTGGGCTCAGGCAATCCTTCCATTTCAGCCTTCTGAGTAGATCAAACTATAGGTGTGTGCCACTATGCTGGCTATTCTTTTTTTTAAAATTTACTGTAGAGATGAGCTCTCACCACATTGCCCAGGCTGGTCTCAAACCCATGGGCTCAGCCAGTCCTTTTGCCCCCGACTCTCAAAGTTCTGGGATTACAGTCATGAGCCACTACGCCTGGTGGAAACAGTTTTAAAATTCAGAAACTTCTAAAATTTAAATATAACATGGAGTAACTAAGAGTCAGAATAACTGGTTAGAGTCCAAAACTAAACAGAGTAAATATTTGAATTACTATGTATATACACACACACCCTTTTCCTACGAAGTGTGCCAGAGATCCTTCCAGGCATTAGATACACAGTGGGGAACAAAAGAGATGAACTGCATGTCCCCTATAGTTTGAAATCTAGTGGATTAATATTTTTAAAAACAGACAAGAGCTGCAGATGGTGGCTCAAGCCTGTAATCCCAGCACTTTGGGACACCAAGGCAGGAGGATTGCTTAAGTCCAGGAGTTTAAGACTAGCCTGTGCAACACAAGACTTCATCCCTACAAAAAAACCCAAAAAGTTAGGCAGGTGTGGTGCTGCACGCCTGTAATTCCAGCTACTCGGGAAGCTGAAACAGAAGGATCATCTGAGCCCAGGAGGTCAAGGCTGCAGTGAGCCGTGATTGTGTCACTTGCACTCCAGCCTGGGTGACAGAATGAGGCCCAACTCAAAAAATAAAATACAAAAATAAAACAAACAAAAAGATAAAATAAAAATAAAAATAGACAAGTCATTATTTCAGTCATATGTTTTACAAGAAACCATGGAACCCAATACAAAATGCATATTGAATTACAACAAATTTTTATTAAAATATTTCCTACAAGCCGGGCTCGGTGGCTCAGCCTGAAATCTCGCGCCTTTGGGAGGCTGAGGTGAGTGGATTGCCTGAGCCTGCGGGTTCGAGACCCGCCTGGGCAGCGAGACCTCATCTCTAGAATAAATCAAAAAATCAGCCAGGCATGGTAGCGCACGCCTGTAATTCCGGCTACTCGGAAGGCTGAGGCGGAAGGATCGCTGGAGCCCAGCAGGTCGAGGCTGCGGTGGCCGGGAGCAGCCACTGCACTCCAGTCTGGGCGACCGAGTGAGACTCCAACTCAAAAAAATAAATAAAATAAAATAAAATATTTCCTACATATAGGTTATTCAAGTATACTCAAAAAGGTTTACATTTTAACACCAAAGTGAGTATCCATAGCCATGAAAAATGGAAAAAAGAGAGAAAGGATTAAGGGAAAAGACTACAAGTTTTCAAAAGTGCAATTTATATTACAAAAGTAATACTTTTTCCCCCAAATCTCAAAATAGAACAAAAACTTTTTAGTATAAATATCAATTTTGTATACAGCAATTTAAAACCACACATTTATTAACCTTAACATTTATAAAGTAATAATTCTGTAAAGTTTTGTTTGGTTTGGGAGATATTGTCTGCATTTGTAAACCATGAACCACGTCAGAGCAAGTTTTAAATTTATGTATATTTTACAGAGTCAATTAAATATACTTCATCATTATAAATGTATAAATAAATAGTATAAACAAATAATTCTGGGTTTGAAGAATGTAGCTGCTGTTAGCCCAAGTCTTATTCCTTAATCACAAATAAATATGGAGACTCTCACGTCAGCTTCGATACTTTTCCTTGATATTTATTTCTGACCAATAATTATCTGAGCATATTCTATTACAACTTACAAAAAAATTATCTATGTTGCTTCTGATTGTATCCAAGTCCTGGGACACATTGAGGGACTGTTCTTTCCAGTAATTCAGAGTTTGCTGAGAAGATTCTAACCACTTGGTCAACTCATCTGAATTTCTGTTGTAACTAACAGGAGCAAAGAGAAAAGGAAATTAGAAACATATAGGATGATCAGAGATACCACGGGCATCTTTTCTTCTTGCTTTACTGAATATTGTCCTATGTTGATCCGCCCTAACATTCAGAAAACCATGCCATTTATAAGGATTATACCATGTGCCAAAACTGATGCTGCTGGTGCAACCCAGGACTCTCCCATTATGGCCCAACAAGAACAAAGAGGCATGTTAAAGTCTAACACATTCTTTTTCTTATTACAGCAACACAAAAGTCTACCCATGGGTAAGGACAGAATTTGTTTGGTTGTTTTGAGTTGGAGTCTCACTCCATTGCCCAGGCTAGGGTGCAGTGACATGCCCATGGCCACCCCAGCGTCAACCTGCTGGGCTCCAGCCATCCTTCCGCCTCAGCCTTCCAAGTAGCCAGAACTACAGGTACATGCTACCATGTCCAGCTAATTTTTTGATTTATTATATGGACGAGGTCTTGCCAAGTTGCCCAGGCTATTCTTAAATCCATGGGCTCAGGCAATCCTCTCACCTCGGCCTGCCAAAGTGCTGGGATTATAGGCTTAAGCCACTGTGCCTGGCCCAGGATTTGTTTTAAGTCGAGGTCTCACTCTGTCTCCCAGGCTGGTGTGCAGTGGCACAATCACAGATCACTGCAGCCTCAACCTCCTGGGCTCAGATGATCCTCCCACCTCAGCTGCCTGAGTAGCTGGGACTATAGGCATGCACCACCACACCCAGCTAATTTTTATTTTTGTTTTATTTTTTTGAGTTAGAGTGTCACTCTGTTGCCCAGGCTGGAGTGACACTCACAGCCATTCCAGTGTCAACCTGCTGGGCTCTGGCAATCCTTCTGCCTCAGTCTTCCAAGTAGCCGGAACTACAGGTACATGCTATCATGCCTGGCTAATTTTTTTGATTTATTGTAGAGACGAGGTCTCACCATGTTGCCCAGGCTGGTCTTGAACCCACGGACTCAGGCAGTCTTTTCGCCTCAGCCTCCCAAAGTGCTGAGATTATAGGCTCGAGCCACAGCACCTGGCCTGATTTTTAAATTTTTATTGTAGAGACAAGGTGTACTGTCGCCCAGGTTGGTCTCAAATTCCTGGGCTCAAGTGATCCTCTTGCCTCGGCCTCCCAAAATGCTGGGATTACAGGTGTGGACAGTTACATCTGGTGAGATAATTTTTTCTTCATCAGAAGTCCTCCATAAATTTATTTACAGTAAAAATATTACCAGTATCTGTATAAGTTGTATAACAGCAAATTGCTGCTGACTGGATGCCAACATATTTACCTGAGGTGATGAGAATTTCCAAATCAAATGCTATCCCTCTTGTAACTTTTAAACTTCCTTGGGTTAAGAGGCAGGAATGTGAATGAGGTTTAAATGTTCTGTGTTCTCCACCTTCTTCTAGCAGTTCAAGATTATACTAACTAAGCAAAATAGATTCTCTGAGGAACTCAAAAGACTTTTTCAAACTATTCTGTTAGCTAAAATTATTTACCTTTTTTTTAAGTTTAAAAACTTTTGGGGATGGGTGCGGTGGCTCATGTATGTAATCCCAGCACTTTGGGAGGCTGAGGTGGGAGGATCACTTGAGCCCAGGAATTTGAAATCAGCCTGGGAAATACAGTGAGATCCCGTCTCTGAAAAAGTAAAAAAAAATTAGCCGGGTGTGGTAGCGTATCTCTGTAGTCCGAGCTACTTGAGAGGCTGAGGCAGGAGGATTGCTTGAGCCCAGGAGTTTGGGACTGTAATGAGGTACGACCACACCACCTCACTCCAGCCTGGGTGACAGAGTGAGACCTCATTTCTCTAAAAACAAAAAAAAAAACAAAATAAAACCTTTGGAAGAGGATAGAAAAGCGTAGCATCATGGTATAAAGGGAATTTATGTATTATTTAATAACTCTCCCAGTTTTCACAGAAAAGCATAAATGATCCCCCAGCAAACTGATTACATGTTATCCTGTGTCTATTCAAACAGCATCAAAGACTCCGGATCCCACTTAGCTCAGAAGAGGGACCCAACTGCTTTAGGCTGTCCAAGAAACATGCAGCACAACAGGGGACATGCCTTAAGATTTAGTTTGACTGCAGAATTCCTCTGAGGCCTTTCTCCCCAGGAAAATCTGGAGCCCATGCATCCCCGAGCAGACCCACCTGAGCAGATGCTTGAGGAGAGTTTGCAGTCTGTGGAGTTCATGGTCAATTTTCTTGTTCAGGGCCAGCCACTGCTCTTCCAGCTTTGCAATCTGCCCCTCTAACTCGGGACAGCTCACCGCCGCCACCAGCTGTTTGCCTTCATTCAGAGCTTGGTAGAGCCGGACATGCTTTCCATCAATGTTTCTTTTGATTTGCTAATAAAATAAAAATTTGATTTGCTAACAAAATTTGCTAATAGAATTATTTTAAAAATAAGCTCTGCCCATCTATTCACAAATATCACATTAAAAACCCACATTAATGGCTGATGAAATGCGAACACTCTGCCAACCTTCAAGACAGCATCCTGACCAGATATAACATTAATGGCTCGTCAATAGCCTTTCATGATTAGAGTGTCATTTCAATGCCTTTCTACAGCACAGATTCAACTCTGTAGACTTACCGCACTCATACAAAAGTCAGAAATTCACAGATTGAGATCTGATAGCTAATTCTCCCATCTAACAACAAGCTGGTGGTCAACAGGCCACGTTTAGCATGCAGACAGGTTTTGTGTGACCTAGAGATTGCTTTGGAAAACCAGGACATTTTACATAGCAATCAGGATAGCCAGGGGCTCTGGGGAAACTGGAAGGTCTCACAATTGCTGGTCTGCACTCGTTCCCATGGGGTAAAGGCTGGTTGGAACCAATAGTAGCAGTCCCCTATAGTAGAGTGTGCTCTCCTTAGCTCTGCCCCAGCTCAGTGCCTACCATCCCTGGGACCACAGACCCAGAGAGCGTTCCCGCCTTTTCCAGGGAGAAGCATTTCAGACTGAGACCTAGATAAGCAGAGGATATACAAGGTGTTTCTCTATTATCCATTAGATGCAAATACTAGCTGGAAAAATTTATTTCTAGAGTCTTATGGATGTAAAGATTCAGTAGAGAGAAAAGAAGAGAACTTTGTGTTTTAATTAATTAATTAATTTCTTGAGTTGGGGTCTCACTCTGTTGCCCAGGCTCAAGTGCAAAGGCACAATCGTGGCTCACCAAAGCCTCGAACTCCTAGGCTCAAGTGATCCTCCTTCCTTAGCCTGCCCAGTAACTGGGACTACAGGTGCGTTCCAGTCACACTCGGCTCAAGAACTTTAGAAGAATAAGTTAAAACACATAATTAACCCAGCTTCATGAAAAGAAAAAGACAGTTCTTCAAAACTGTGAAGACAATGACCCTTGGAGAGAAGTCTGTCTAAAGGCAGTTATCTTCCACAGCTGGGTTCATCTAATGCCATTTATCCAGACCTCTGTTTAATCTTAAAAAGTAAATTACTGGGCAACCCCCTTTGGGTCACCTCCCACTATGGGAGCTTTTCTGTCCTCTCAATAAATCCTACTTTCAAAAAAAAAAAGTTATTAGCAAAATACTGTTTTACAAGGTTTACTATTTTCCAATTAACTCAAGCCTTTTTAAAAATTATACAAAAATTCCACTTCCATTACCCTTTCCACCTCTCCCATTTATAATCACTCCCCCCTGCCTGAGCCTGTGTATTAGAATAAAATATCCAATGTCATTATAAAAAAATAGGTCTAGGTTGGGCACAGTGGCTCATGCCTGTAATCCCAGCACTTTGTGAAGCAAGGCAGGATGATCACCTGAGCCCAAGAGTTTGAGACAAGCCTGGGCAACATGGTGAAACCCTGTTTCTACAAGAAGGAAAAAAAAAAAATTAGCCGGGTCTGGTGATGCAAACCTGCAGTTCCAGCTACTTGGAAGCCTGAGGCAGAAGGATCACTTGAGTTTGAGGTTGCAGTGAGCTATGAATGTGCCACTGTACTGCAGTCTGTGTGAAAGTACGAGATCCTATCTCAAAGATGAGCAAACAAAGCAAAAGACAAAAACGAAAACAACAACAAAAATGTCTTATTTTCTGAGCCCTTAAGTGGCAGATACTTCATATTTAGAACATCTCTGAGAAGTTTTAATTTCTCCATCTAATACACAGGAGATAGTCTGAGCAGGTCACTTAGACTGTGAGGTGCTTAGCCAGCAAAACACGAGTTTGTTTGACTTCAAAGGTCACACAACTGACCCCTAGGTTCCACAGACATCTACTGCTCAAGACGAGGATGTCTCCTGGACACACACAAGACTCTCCATCACTCCCAAGACTGAGAATGGCCAATGATGTCTATACATGAGATGGGCTTTATGAGATATGTCTCATTTAGTCTGGCAAATTTATTTAAAAGTCTTAGAACAATCCTGTTTCTTTCTTTCTTTCTTTCTTTTTGAGTCAGGGTCTCACCCTGTCACTTGGGTTGGAGTGCAATGGCATGATCACAGCTCAATGCAGCCTTGACCTCTTGGGCTCAGGTGATCCTTCTGCCACAGCCTCCCAAGTAGCTTGGTATAGGTACACACCACCATTTTATTTTTTGGCAGAGATGAGGTCTTGCCTAGGTTGGTCTTGAACTCCTGGGCTCAAGCAATCCTCCCACCTTGGCTTCCCAAAATGCTGGGATTGCAGGTGTGAGCCACCATGCCCAGTCTCTTTTTTTCTTTTTAATGTTTCAAATTTAATAGACTCACCCTCACATGCTAAGGGACTGGATCACTTTTGGAGAAAATAATCAGACTCATACTAGGTGGGCTAACATTAGCCTGTTTCTTTTTTTTTTTTTTTTGAGTTGGAGTCTCACTCTGTCGCCCAGACTGGAGTGCAGTGGCCACTCCCGGCCACCGCAGCCTCGACCTGCTGGGCTCCGGCGATCCTTCCGCCTCAGCCTTCCAAGTAGCCGGAATTACAGGCATGCGCTACCACACCCGGCTGATTTTTTGATTTATTGTAAAGATGAGGTCTTGCTGCTGAAGAATGGAAAGGACTTTGTAGACCAGGGGCCTCTAAGCATAGACTTGGTTTTATTACTACAGTGAAGCCCTGATTAGATCTTGTCAACGGAAACATAAAATATTTCATTTTAACTTTAGAACATATGCAGTCAGAATCTGAGCTGTGTAGCTGGAGGTTGTTATCCAGTGTCCACTTTAAAACTTCAAAAGCAGGTTTATCGCATGAATAGACTGGATGGAAAATGAAAACAGGAAATACCTTGCAGGACCCTGCTCTTCCTTGAAGGCATTTTAACTGCTATAAGGAACATTTTCCAGAGGCCAGAATACTGTATTTATACTCTCGAGATGCCCAGAAAGCTACAGTTGTTCTTGTTGCCATTTTGTTATATAGAGTCTAACTCTTTGGTACATCTGGGTCCTGGGGTGGGTGGGGGTGGGTTGCTGCTGTTTAATTCTTTCTTAGCCTAGGGATACAGAAGGTGTCATCTGAGCAGCTGAAGGATGCATCTGAAAACAGGTAGTCTATAGGAAGTCCTCAACTTACGAACAAGTTCAGTTCTGAAAGTACGTTTGTAAGTCTGATTTGTTTTAGGTCCAACAAAGTTAGCCTGGGTACCGATCAGCTCTATAGAACTGTATATATTTAATGGGCTATACTGACACCTGGTAGAGAGAAATAATACATTTTAAAAAACAGGTGTGTGTCATTAAAGTTCATAACTTGAAGTTCATATGTAGGGGACTTACTATATTAAGAAACAGGCTAGCCGGGCTCGGTGGCTCAGCCTGTAATCCCACGCCTTTGGGAGGCTGAGGTGAGTGGACTGCCTGAGCCCGCGGGTTCGAGACCTGCCTGGGCTTCACTGTAGTAATAAAACCAAGTCTATGCTTAGAGGCCCCTGGTCTACAAAGTCCTTTCCATTCTTCAGCTCATTTCCATACTAGCAGCCCTTTGGAATCCACCTCCTGAGACTGGGAGAACTGGTTTGACCATCTGTGTTCTACAGATAAAGAAACTGAGGCTCAGAGATGGTAAAGCCACAAAAGTGATTAAGTGGAGTCAGGACTCAAACCAACGTTCTCAAGCCCAGGCCAGACACGTGGTTGTGTGGCGTCCCTGAACAACGTTTCCTTCACATTCAAATCATTTGCCTTCAAAATCAAGCAACTTGGTCAAAACAAAGCAAAGTCAAACACCAAGAGCTGTGGGTCATGCCTTTGACAACTAAATGGAAGCAAAATACCTGGTAAAATGAAATCCTTTCCGCTAATCTTTCTTCTGTCTCCTCCACCAAACTCACAGAGGGCAACGTAGATACAAGAATCTCCAGGTCCTTTTCAAGAGAGGCATAATTTTCATCAAATTCTTCCCATTTCTAGAGAACCAAGGACATAAAATCAGTGGGAGCCCTTTACGACATCGGCTCTAGACAACAACGCAATTAATCACAAAAACAATAATGCACAGATTCTAGGTGTTTCTGAGAGATGTAACCCACTATAGTAACAGCTCAGTGTCCAATGGAAAACAATTCCACTGCCTTTGAGCACAAGGTTTAAAAAACCCTGCTGGCATTAGTGTTTCATGCTCACCTTGTCAAACTGGGTATTAATGAGGGTGACATGATTAAATTAAAGTGATACTCTCAGCACCTTGGTAGAGACCTCAGAGACCTCTTGGTAGAGAGCCTTTCTCTTATTTGGAAAAGGCAAGGAGCTAACCTGTAAAACCTGTCCAACAGAAGCTCTTACCAGGCTGTTCTGGGCCTCTCTGCTCCAAGCCCAAGACTGAAGAGGCAGAAAGACGCTGTGCCATCCCAAATTTATGTATAAGAAATCCCAGCTGACATTTCCTTCAGGGAGTAGGGGTCAGAACCTGAGCAGCGGTCCACATTCCTCACTGCTATGATCCCATTTAACTATGGCTTAATGATAACCAGAGACTTCTTTTTGACACTTGGAGGTGGTGGTTGAAAACCAGGAAGTCCCAGCTTAAGTTCAACGTTTACATGCCCCAAATACCTGCAACAGACCCTGCAGCTTCATGCCACATTGGCATGATCTTTCTTCTAGTGTTTTAACTTCTGCTACTTGTTCCGCCCAAAATATCTCTTTCTTTTGCAATAAAGAAGGAAACATCTTGGCAGAGTATGTTTGGATCAACAGCATGTCAGCAACAAGCTTCTGGAAAAAATTCTGTAAGACAGAAAGGGTTGTAACATTTATTTATTTATTTGTGAAAATCTTAAAAAAGAAGATACTTCAACTTTTTATGCAGTTATATTTGTTTTTAAATTCAAAATCCAGCCAGGAGTGGTGGTTCACATCTGTAACCCCAGCACTTTGGAAAGCTAAGGCGAGAGGATTGCCTGAGCAAGTGAGTTTGAGACCAACCTGTGCAACATGACAAGACCTTTATTTCTACAATAAACCAAAAGTAAAATTAGCTGGGAGTGATGGCTCATGTCTGTAGTTCTAGCTACTTGGAAGGCTAAAGTGGAAGGATCATCTGAGTTCAGCAGGTCAAGGCTGCAGTGGCCATGAGCATGCCACTGCACTCCAGCCTGGGTGACAGAGTGAGATTCCAACTCAAAA